AGAGTAAAATAAATCCCAAGGTAGAATTTATGCTAATAGCTTGAACTAAAACGAACCAAACCCCACCTTCCTCAACCAAAAGTAGGCGGAGCGTTCAAGTCCAGCTTTTAATTTTCCTTCCAGTCTTACAGAAGAAGCCGTACCGTTCGCTATTACACTCAACCCGCCGTTTTCGAAATCGTGATAAATCGTTTTTTTTCCTTAACGAATTCACAAAAAGAAAGTGCTTTTTCCCCCAAAGAACCGTAGTTTTTCGTTAAGTAAAAACTAAAAGTGTTTCTTATTAAGTGTACTAAGGAAACTCAAAGTGTTAATAATTTATTAACATAATAATTGTGATTTTTTTTGTAAATCAACCTTAAAAAGAAAATCAACCTTCAAATTATTATAAGTAAGTTTTTATCTTATTCTTTTACCAATTAAAGTATTCATTCATTCAAGTATTGGGTTAATTAAAAAGAATTACATAAAAAAAATATTGGTATTAGTCGAAAATCGTAAATAATTCGATAACAACCGATTAGAATTGCGCGCTTCGAATTCTTTTCATAACAACAATAATAATAATAAAAAAAACTTTGATTTTAGATTAACCGAGTTTGTTTATTTTAATTTTGAAGCTTTTTTTTTGTTCTTGATAAGTTATCGTTGTTTAATGGTAACTTATCGCGGTTTTGAGATTTTGCCAAGGACGTTTATTTATGTTCAAATACATCCATGTTAATTATAAAGATTACAAAGTTATGTTAATCAAAAAAAAATCTAAAAATTACTTAAACAATTTCGATAACAACACTATAAATGTTGGTGTTTATGTAATTAGTTTTCTATCATTGTTTGTTTAAAAACATCCTAGAGTAATATCGAATATTTAAAAAAAATATCATACAATAACAATCAATACTCTCAATTTAAAGAATTTTTGGCTTTAAACATTAAAAAAGCAACAAATATGGATTAAAACCATATTCATTTCTTATTAGTCATTATTGAGTAATAAGCATTTGATGGTGGTATTTCAATTTTGTGAGATAAATATCAAAATTATAACAAATGTTTTAAAAAGAACAAAATCTTTTAAGCTGTTATGAATGGTTGTGTGGACATTATTGTGTGAAGTATGTCTTTCTGTCAAAGTATTAACCATATGGAAGTGTATTGGAGCTTTTAATTAAGCTGTAAAATTCTAAGCTATCTTAACCATTTGTAGCCATTCAATTACAATAATTACATTATATCCATTAAAAATAAAACTGTTTATTATTCTTGTCTTAAGTCCAAAATATATTTGTTACTTGACTCAAAAGTTTCTACAAAACACTTATTGCAGTAAAATCAACCACTTATAATATTTTGTTATATCAAAATTGATTCATCTCATTAGACAAACAGTAAAATAGGGTATTTTAGTAGTAATAGATGTCAACAGATGGCGCTAATAAATGGAGAGAAGTTTGACATGTAAATTATTTGTCGGGATTTAAATAAACAGATGGCGCTAATAGGGAATTTTTATAAAAACGAGATAGAAGCTCGCTAATCATTTATCGTCCTCCTTCTAGTTTATGTCGTATTTATATTAATTGATTTGGTTTTTTACCAAATCTAAATTCGAAATTAATTAAATCATAATCGAACTCTAAATGTAAATGAGGTAAAGCTTTATTGAATTGTTTGAAGCTTAAGAGATAATTATGGCTGATATTTATACAGAGAGAGAGTCCTATTTATAGCATTATGGCAGGTTTTTTCACCAAGATCTGTTATGGGTCTAAATATTTCTTGCACTTGGTTCTATGAATAGCAATGAAGACGTTTTTTATCACATGGACATCAAAAGGAAGAATATGTAAGCGAAATCAGAACGATTTATAATAATGGTCTGTCGTTATAACTACATAGAATAGATATCTTGTGATGATCATATAATGACAAAAGATGCTTTTCAACGATTTTTTCTAACAGTATACTGGAACTTTTTTTGTACATGAAATTGAACTCTGAAATAAATCAGCTAGGACAATCTTTTTAAAAATGAATGCAACATTATCTTCTTATTCTTAAAATGTTTTGTGTGCAGTAAGAAATTGACACAAGAAGTATTAATTGAAGATTAATTAAATGATGTTATTACAAGTATACAAAATCCAAAAACACTTTTTGCACCATATCTGATTTGTTTAATTATTTGGGAAGAATTCCTTTACTTGTTTTGTATTGCCTCATTTGCTAGTGTTTTGTCTTACACACCACACGTGAGGAATTGCAGATTTTTTTATGTACTTATGAATACTAATAGATAACTCATTTTTACAGCTATACTTGCTTATATTAAAGATGCAAGACCTAAAAGGTAAACAACATAAGTATAAGCACAAAAATTTGAGTCTAACAAACCTACATATCGTACACTTCAAGCTTATCACGCGTAACTGTTAACAGTTAATATAAAGGTTAGCACGGCAGTTAAAAAACATCGTTCTTGACACACACATTTTTCTAGAATTATTGTAAAACCATTAAAGAGAGCTTCTTAGTACTTCAAACTACAGTAACTTCAAACTGTAGTAATTTGTTCACATTTCTTTTTTATTGCTTAAGCCATATGAAATAAAAAGTCGAAATATATGTTATTCTAACAATAAGTATATGTATACAGACGGATCTGTATTAATTTAAAAAAGAATTGCCTTAATGTTACTTTATTTGTCAATCAATTGAGATAGAAAAATAGCCATAATCATGCGTAACCATGGCAACCAATTGTTTTGATTTCAATTTTCTAAGTGTTAAAATTGAATGGTTATGATTGCCATGCAATAATCATAACTCGTTTAATAATGGAAATAGTTTAAAATGTACACCAAAACGTTACAAAACATTTAAGCTTCAGCGATTTTTCCATAAACTGTTTTTAATAGTTTTATCGAATTTATCTGTTACTTTTGGAAAACACTGTATATTGATTTATGAGTCGAAATCGCTTGATTGTAAAAAATTCGGCAATGCCAACGAAGATTTTTCTCAGCTTAGTTTTCCGACCAAGTCCAAAATCTTAATTCTGTACTAAATGAATTACGGAGAAGATATAAAATCGATGGAAAAGCAAGCTTTTTACCATTATGCTAAAAGTAGAGGTTCTTGTTTCTTGTTTATGCAACTTTCCATGAATGATTTTGTACTCACAACTAGCCTTACAGATTTGGAATAACGATCAGATAATATTTTCAAGTAGTATTTCCCATAAAACACGTGCTCTGCTAATTGTTTTTTTGATGAGTTTTGTTATGGATTAACTAGTATCCTAATAAAATAAGAAATAATTCTATATTGTACAAAATTTTCTGGCATTAAGCACAAATTGATACACATTTATCCCCCAGCAAATAACATGACTTTTAGCAAGAAAATTTTTACTAACTGGAAAGGTCATACTTGGAAGTTTTGAAGCTTTCTTCCAGTAACTACCACTATTACAAGAACTGTCCCAAGAACCTCAATATTATGGCCACATAATAACATTTCTGATAAGTTCCATTATTACTAATCACTTGAGATAAAAAAATAGCAATAGCCATGCGTAACCATGGCAACCAATTGTTTTGATTTCAATTTTCCAAGTGTCAAAATTCAATGGTTTTCTCAGCTTAGTTTTTCGATCATGTCCAAAATGTTAATTCTATACTAAATGAATTACGGAGAAGATATAAAATCGATGGAAATAGCAATATTGAGGTTCTTGTTTTGTTTATGTTTATGATTAAGCTTTCTTCCAGCAACTTTCTTCTTGCAACTACCACTATTACAAGAACTGTCCCAAGAACCTCAATATTATGACCATATATTAACATTTCTGACAAGTTCCATTATTACCAATCAATTGAGATAGAAAAATAGCAGTAGCCATACGTATCCATGGCAACCAATTGGTTACGATTGCCATATCATAAACATAACTCGTTTAAAAATATCGAAAAACACATGCTTTGCAAATTGTCTTTTTGATGAGTTTTGTTCTGGATTAGCTTGGTTTAACTAGTATCCTAATAAAATAAGAAATAATTTCTTATTGTACAAAATTTTCTGGTATTAAGCACAAATTGATACGAATATTTGCTGTGGGACACCCACAGCAAATAACATTACTTTTATAAGGAATTTTTACTTACTGGAGAGGTCATATTTGGAATTTTTGAAGCTTTCTTCCAGCAACTTTCTTCTTGCGACTACCATTATTACACAAATTTGCTTCCACGCTGTTTTTGTCATACTCAACATAAGCATATTTAATCAAAAGTGAGCATACAGTATTCATTCAAAATACATAATGTCCCAACAACCTCAATACTATGGCCACATAGGAACATTTCTGATTTGTGATAAGGTTAAAGCAGAACTTTTTATTTTCTTAGTTTAGTTTTTCAAAAATATACGAAATATAATTTTGACATTTGTTGTCGCAACACGTGATTCTTGAAGATTTTTGAAATAATATCTTTGGTCAAATGGTAACATCGACTTATTATCTGCTCAAGCCGTAATGAGTCCATAAATTAAATCTTTTATGGATACATTTGAATGAATTTGAATAAATTCTTAACATATAATTATATTAATGCAATTAACACATGTATGTATATTTGATACCATGCGATTAATTAGTTAAGCATTAAAAATACCAAGGAAGTGTATATCTGTGTCACAGCCGAAGTATACCTAAAAACGAGTCTTCATTTTTGTTAGCATTCCAATATTTATAAATACTTACCTGGCGTAATGAACCTCAAAATAATATTTACAAAACTCGTCGCGACTTCAATTTTTGGTCGGAGATTTTTTTTGAATGCAAATTTTAGTAACTTGCGAACCAGAAATGAGATGAATCATTTATCCCTAAACTTCATTTAGGCAATGGTTATGGTTTCTGCGAAAAAGAAATGAAACCACACAAGTGGCTCATTAAAACTTTTTAGTGTTCTAGCTAATATAAGATTGTGGGGTTGTAACTTAAGATTCTTTATTTACTGCTAAATTTCGTGTGTCAGCAAAGAAATATGCTGCAATAAAAAAACTTTAACTTTAAAAACAAAGTACCGTAAATAACTATACTTAAACATACATATCGATGAAAAAAAATTTACAAATTTCACTCATAATTTTCAAAGCTTACTTAACCGACGCTCATTTCGTATGTAAATGGGTAAAGACGATACAAGTTCGAAACCGTCGGAAAGAACTCAGAATTACAAACAAAATAAATAAAAGAATGATTAACATTTAAATAATAGTTGATAATTTGATGCAAAATTTATTCGTTTGCCTTTTCATTCTTTGTTGCATTGACAAAAAGAAATAAGCGTGGGTGAATTTCCTTTTTCCACGAATTCTTCGCACGTTAATTACGGTTGTTGGTTCTGTTTTATTTAGAAAATCATCGTGGTCGTCGTTCTCTGTCCCCTTCAACCGGTAACGCAACGTTATAAAACTGACACAAATGGGTCCTTTATATTGCCCCATAGTAATTGTCAACTACGTTACATTTCACATTACCACTCGCTATGGTACTTCAATAAATTCCTTTGATCGTTATAAAAAATCCCTAAAAATAAGATTTTTTTAAACAAATATATCATCATCATTATTGGCACCTCAACTCTCTTCTATCTCGTGCTTTGGCCTTCCAGTTTTTAATTCCTAGCATTTTTAGACTTTCTTCCTGGTCACTTTTTCTCACCTAATCTTTATATCTGCTTCTAGGTCTGCCTCACTTGCGGGATCCAAAAACTATTAGACAGAACATTATAAATAAACAAATATATAAATGAGATAATTTAAAGAAAACTGTCAAAACATAATCAATAAAGCCACAAATTGTAACGGAAACGTATTTTGGGAAACGCCCCTTAGGGCCACCACAACGACAGAGTAATATATACCTTAATTTGGACGATAAGGCGCCCTACCTGAGATCTCTATCTCGTTTAGGCACGCGCGCTCTTAAATTTATAACTTCGTCCTTTACCAATTTGCCAAAACGGAAATTTACACTAACTTAAAAAAGCGAAAATAAGCTGCGGTTTATTTAGTTTATAACTTGAGTAAACTATCCGAAAGAAATAAAACCGGGAAAAACGAGAACCACTAATTGACCTATCGACCACCGAAACAGGCTTCTTTGAGAACGTCTGCGGTTCTCTCACTTCTCCTTTTCGAAGCACCGTCGATGTTAGCTTTAATTTCCCATAAATTACGTGGCCCAATTAGGTTATGTTACTTGAGCAGGGCCATTTGTTGGACGTCTGGGTTTGTTAAAGTAAATACAATTTTAAAATGCGGAAATTATTAAATTTTGAAATAAGATTTATTTGACGTTTAACAATTTTGACATGATGAATTACGTGTGAAGTTAGAACATATAGTTAAAATTCATAAAGAATCCTTTATTTATTTATGAATTGCATTAACAAAGTAATTTTACACAATTTTATTATTTCACTATTTACTATTAATAATAATTATTAAATTAAATAGTCGTTAAAATATAAATATTTACTTCTAATCTTTGAAATAGGTTGGTAACATTTTATTACTAAAAAATTAACGTCAAATTAAATCATACATAACCTTCAATCATCGCGAATTTATCAATTTTATGTTTAAAAAATCATTGAATGGTGTTAATTATTGAACAGGAATGTGAAAAATATTTATTTTGTATAACCTCACTTTTTGATAAACAATAAGTACAAGATTTTTTTTTATTATATGAATTGAAATATGGTGACAACCGATTGAAAAGGCGCGAAGGCGAAAAACGCGAGCAAAAAAGGTCGTTTGGACACACGACGACGACGCCAATTAAGCAAAGAACTCTGCGCGTGCATTTTTTCGGTTCGAACGGGGAATACGAGAACGGGTCGGACGCGTTTTGAAACGAACAAAACGGTCCTCCGACACTGAAAGAGAGAGAGAGACATCCAAACGAGGACGGCGTTTAATTGAGTCGACGAGCTTGTAAAGTCCGTGTGTACTCCTTATAATTGCTCTCCTCTTTCTGAACGTTGTGTATCTTTTGTGACCAAGAAACTGTTGGTCATTTTATGATTGGTCACTAAAATGACATTATTAAAGTTTCTGTTGTGTGCCCTTTTTATAAGTTTTTTTTAAACTTGAAAAGTTGTGACATGAATTTCAAGTTTTAAAAGAGAAAAAACAGTAGCTAAATTGGGTTGGGTTTAAAGTATCTTCCGGTTTTACTATCGATTCTTCCGAAACTTACGAGTTTCTAATCTTCAATTTCATTGTGGGTTATCTTTGAGAGATTATCGGGTTGGGTTCAGGTAACTTGTCACCCTTGAAGGGTCTGGGACAGACTTTTAGCTACTTCCTGTTTAGTGGAGATCACCGTCGGCTTTTTACCTTTTACCTGTGCGCCGGGGCGGATATATACGTTACGGTTTTCACTTGACATAGGCGCCACTAGGTGACAATACTTCAAGGTTCGATTTTATCTTTTTTGGTGTGGCAAGAAAAAATTGTCTCGTGCTAAATTCCACGACGTCTGGAAAAAGTTTATTTTTTAGGTTTTTTTTGTCTATTATGCTTACTTAAAATCTATTGTTGTCCGAATTTCCTTTGTGTATATTTTCTGTAATCATCAGTACACATATTTTAATAACTTCTGTCATAATGACAGATTGATATTACAGTGCACTACAGTGTCATATAAATTAGGTGATGAAGTTAGCCACAATTATAAATTTTATTATTTTTCGTTTATTTCATTTTAATTTATTTAAAAAAAGTTGTACATTTTATCAATTCATAATTAAAATAAGTTATTAAATGAATTTTTGTAAATCGGATATATTTTATTTAATTTTATTGTAGTTAGTGCCTAACTTAACTTCATTATCAATTTCTAATCAAATGTTTGACAGTTTCGTTATAAATTTTATCTTAAAAATTCTTCCTAAGTCCGAAATGCTATTTAAATCGCTTCCGAGGATACTCAAGTAAGTATTAGACAACTTTTTAATCTCTAGAAAGTGATAAAATGGGTTTGATATCGAACATAGCCTTACAATTTACATAACCTTTAAACAATGCATTTCTTGGCTCAAAGGGTTTCTTCAATCAAAGAAAAAGTTGCAGAAATCAATATTGTTAATAGCAAATAAGAAATGAATCTTGTATATAACATAATTATTTTAATTTATTTCTTGATTGAGGCATTTCTTTAATACATTTAATTGCTCGATTAGTTAATAGCAAAATTGATTATTCGCGAGATATTACTATGTAATATTACTATTAATACAGAAATTAATGATGAAAACATACTTTGGTGAATATAGCATGTTTGGCACACTTCGTGATTCCTTTTCCAGGATGTTAAAAGACGCTCAACTAGCATATTACAAGTTAGCTTACAAAATTGCGAAATGTAAGAAGCCTCATATCTTCCAAAAGAACTTATTCAACCGGTTATTGCGGATATAATAAATATCTTCATTGGTAAGTCTGTCTTTAAAAGTACCTTTATCTGGATACAATTAATTGGAGAATACAACCTATGGCAGAAGATTTTTGGATTAAATTTAAATGAGGCTAAACTCTGTTTTGTGTAAATGTTACTTCAGAAGCAAAGATATAGATCTGCGCAAGATTCTTCATATATTCGTATCTGAAAAGAAATTGAATTGGCCTAAATGCGTTAGTATCTGTATTGATGATGCTCATTCCATATCTAGCTGCTGTGAAAGATTACAGGTGCTTATTCAGATCAAATCATCAAATACACTGTAGTCCCATTTATTTATTCATAGAGAAAAACTTGCTCCAAACGATCCGATTCACTTCACTGAGTCGGGTATTAGAATGTGATAATTGTGGTAAATAAAATCTCATCCTTTCAAAATAAGGTTTTTGAAAAGTGTAAAGATACGGAAGAACATTCGTCTCTGCTAATATTTTGAATTGGGGCAAGGAATTTTTACTTTCCTTAACACGTTCACTGCCGTCTCGGTGAATGTGACGGAATCAGTTTTTCGCATCTTACACGTCAGATATTCAGTATCTAATAATTTTGACCATGAGGACTCACCAAGCTGGCGTAGTGGAAGTGTTGCGTAAAATTTCTTGCATGGAAACTTAACAGCAAATAAATTTAGTAAATAAAAGCAAAAGTAGTAAGAAAACCAATGTCTCTGAGTGGTTGTTTTGTGTCCCAATTTCGATTTTGTGACATGTTTTTATATCCACAACTTCCAAACAGAACCACCGTGTCTAACTACTTCCCCGTGTGTTCATGAGTAGATCGCAATGGCATAAAACCTGTGATATTTCACACAGCGCCGACTCGGTCATTATGACAGAGAGACATTTCAACAAATATTTTTATAGGGATGATAAATATTTGAAAATTTTTGTCGTGGAACTTCATTAGTCGTGTATATTCTTCTGAACTTTACGCATCATGTGCCAAAAAATGAAAATTTTGTACACGCATGAAAGTCCACACTGACTGCCAGTGTGCAGTGAATGTGTTAAAGAAGAAGGATGCAAAGATGTAGAATATTTTGTTGATGCTGATTTTTCAATAAGAGTGGTATGCGACATTTTTGAAAATCTAAATTCCCTTAATGTCCAAATTATGGAGAAGATTGTTTTTTAATATTGCAGTGATAGAAAGCAAGTATGAAGAAATAATTAACCTGGACAAAAGAATTAAGGAGACCGTGTTCAGCTTAATTCCAAGATTTGAGAATATGTGCGGTGATTTGCAGGTTCATACAACACATTAATTATTAATTTTTAACCCTTTTAGGACAAAGCAGGATTTGGTAGTCGAACCTCAGTGACCGGCACCGATGGCAATACATGTTCGTGGTACTCACTGAATCCACAAATAATATATAATCAGAAGATAAAGAGAAATTTTTTAACAATTTATTAAAATAAAACATGTCGCAGTATAATGTACCTCCTCATCTGGTAGCAATGATATATTTAATTCTCAAAAAAGTTTTCTGTAAAGTCGGAACAGAAACAGATCTATCAAGAATATTTGAAAGCCACGCAAGTCTGCGACAGGGAGATGGGCTATAGTGTCTGCTTTTTAACATTGCCCTGGAAGAGATAGACCAGATGCAGGACTTTAAACATTAGAAAAATATTGAACTAATCAACGCAGATCTTGGCATTCGCCGATGACATAGATATTACGGGGAAAACAAAAAACGAGGTGAAGGAGGCCTTTATAAGGTTGATATAAGTTTGTAATAAAGTGCTCAAAGATGTCTAAAGGATCTCCTTGTGATAAATATAAAATATATAAATAAATTTTTAACCCTTTTAGGACAGAGCTGGATTTGGTAGTCGAACCTCAGTGACCGGCACCGATGGCGATACATGTTCGTGGTACTCTCTCTGAATCCGCAAATAGAATATATTCTGCTTATCAAAAGAAACGAACCACTCCGTAGGAAGTTATGTAGAATCAGTTAGTCCATGTAGACAAACAAATGATTAAATTTTGAGGGTCATCTGCCACAGCAGATAGAAATCTAGAAATCTATCTGTCTGTTAGTTCGCCATTAGTTTGTGATTGTTGTCATTGCATTAGTAAAGTTAGCGTCTCAAAAATGCCACGAGTTCGAAGACGTGCAAATTTTCGCCATCTTAAGCCCTTCGAAAAAGGACGAATTATCGGGATGCATGAGGCTGGTTTAAGCTTTCGGGAAATTGGCCGACCTCACGCCACTATCAGACGGACTTGGATGGATTGGCAGGAAGAACGTTTATAAACCCGTCGTAGAGGCAGTGGACGTCCTAGAGTGACAGCAGCACGCGAAGATCGACTGTTAAGGCGAAGTGCAATACAAGACCCAGTAGAACCAACGCGTGCTGTTGCAATCAATTGGATACGAGCAATTGGTCGCAGAGTGTACGATTTATCGTCGAGTACGCACATTTGGGTTACGTTCATATCGTCCTTATTTTCGTCTTCCTATGACTCAGCAACATAAAGACGCCAGACTGCAGTGGAGTCAAAATAGACAACATTGGGAACACGAATCCCGATTTTGCTTATGGAATTCTGACGGATGTTTACGGATCAGACGACCTAGAGGTCAGAGGCTAAATTTACAGTTTGTTCAGCGTCGCCACACGGCTCAAACTCCTGATGTAATGCTGTGGCGAACAATACTCTACGGTGGTAGGTCTCCTTTGACATTCATTCAGGGCACCTTAAACGCGCGCCGTTACATTGACGCCATTCTGGAGCCCGTGTTAGTGCCTTTCCTCCAAGACCTTCCAGAGCACGTCTTCCAACATGATAATGCGCGACCTCATATTGGTCACGTAACGTTAGCACAAAACAAT